ACTTAAGATGCACACAAGTCATGAATAATCCAAGGCATCTGTTACATGATGTCAATATTATTTTTATATATTTGTATATCCTCATTCCTCAGAGGAAGAATCAATGTTTCATAAGATAAAAGTAGACTACTGTAACATAATATGGATTTCCCACCCCCCCACCCCCATATCACTATGGGTTTTGCTCTAAAAATATATTCTTCTTGGTGCTATCAGATCTTCCGCCTGGTATGACCATAATAACAAATGGTATACATTTATTTAGTCTCATAAGAATCCCAGATGATTTTTCCCAGGTGAAAACAAACAGTTTGCTTCAAACTACCATAGTTCTTTTAGCTGGGTTACTATGAACAATCTTTTAATTTAGAGCATATGCCAATCGGTAGCTTTAATAAAATACATATTTTGGATTAAAGACCTGAAAGTAAGACTTGAAACCATAAAACTCCTAGAAGGAAACATAAGTGGTAAATGCCTTAAAACCAGTCTGGGATATGATTCTTTGGATTTAACACCAAAGACAAAGGCAACAGAAGCAAAAACCAGTAAGAGTGGCTATATCAAGCTAAACACTTTCTGCAGAGTAAGAAAGCCAACAAAATGAAAAGGCAACCTTCAGAATGGGGAAAGAAAGTATTTGCAAATCATGTATCTGATGAGCTAATGTTATGACCAACCTAGGCACAATATTAAAAAGCAGAGACATTACTTTGCCAGCAAAAGTCTGTCTATTCGAAGCTATGGTTTTTCCAGTAGTCATGTGTGGATGTGAAAGTTGGACTATAAAGAAAGCTGAGCGCCAAAGAATTGATGCTTTTGAACTGTGGTGTTGGAGAAGACTCTTGAGAGTCCCTTGGACTGCAAGGAGATGCAACCAGTCCATCCTAAAGGAAATCAGTCCCGAATATTCATTGGAAGGACTGATGTTGAAGCTGAAACTCCAATCCTTTGGCCAACTCATGCGAAGAGCTGACTCATTTGAAAAGACCTAATACTGGAAAAGATTGAAGGCAGGAGGAAAAGGGGACGAGAGAGGATGAGGTGGTTGGATGGCACCACCGACTCTATGGACATGAGTTTGAGTAAGCTCCGAGAGTTGGTGATGGACAGGGAAACCTGGCATGCTGCAGTCCATGGGGTTGCAAAGAGTCGGAAATGGCTGAGTGACTGAACTGAACTGAATATCCAAAATATATAAAGAACTCATACAACTCAGTATCAACAAATAAAAACAAACAATTTGATTAGAAAATGGCCAGAGCATTTCAATAGACATTTCCCAAAGACATACTGATAGCCAGAAGGCACATGGTAAGATGTGCAACATTACTTAATCATTAGGAAAATGAAAATCAAAACCACAGTGAGATATCACCTCTCACCTGTTAGAATGACTGTTTTCAAACAGACAAATAAGTGCTGGCAAGGATGTGAAGAAAAGGAAAACCTCATCCATTATTGGTGGGAACATAAAGTGGTATAGCCATTATGGGGAATAGTATGGAAGTACTCAAAAAATTAAGACTCTTAGTACTCTCTGGTCCAGCAATTCCATTTCTGGATATTTATTCAAGAAATAAACAACACTAATGCCCAAAGAGATATGAACCACACAGAAACAACCTGTGTATCCATTGATGAACAGGTAAAGAGAATGTGGTGTACATATAAACAATACTACTGTAATAAAAAGGAGGAAATGCTGCCATTTGCAACAACATGAACGAACACTGAGGGCAGTATGCTAAATGAAACAAGTCAGACAGAGAAAGACAAGCACCATTCTGATCTCACTTATATGTAGAATGTTAAAAAAAAAAAAGATTTCAAATATAGAGAACAGATTGGTGGCTGCCCGAGGTTGAGGATGGGGCAGTGAACGGTGGGTAGAATGAGCTAAAGAGGTCAATTGTACAAACTTCCAGTTTTAAAATAAGTCCTGGGGATATAATGTACACATAGTGACTAGAGTTAATACTATGTTGCATATTTAAAAGCTGCTAAGAAAGCAGAACTCAAAAGTTCTAATCATAAGAAAAGGAATTCTGTAACTATATACGGTGATGGATATTAACTATACCTATTGTGGAGATCATTTTGCAATATATTCACATATTGAATCATGTATATGTGAAACTAATATAATGTTATACATTCATTATACTTCAATATAAAAAAAACAGATCCTACTTAAAAAAAAAAGCCAACCCACAGGTGCTTGGGTCACATTCTTTAGCAGAGGAAGCCACTGGAATTTATTCAAGGCCTGATAAAATTTCAAAAAGTTATTCTCGTGAAAAAGAAATGACTCATGTACATTGAGGAGCTCTTGAATGTCACCTAAAAGTTTGTGATGACTGTGCAATTAAAAATGCACTAAAATCCTAGGCAGCTTTCAGGCTGATCCAGGGAGAAAGATAAGAGAGATCATCAACATTTTCAATCATGAAAGAAAGTGATATTAAGGGAAAAGAGGTAAGTGAGGGGAAAGCCAGGTAAGTGAGAAGGAAAAACGTGTGGCTAGACAAGCGATTAAATAGGAAGGGGAACTTCCTCAGATTTAAAAGACTACTGCACCCAAGTAGATGAATCAGTTTTGAAATTTACTCCAAATAGTCACCACTGGCAAAACAATGGCTACAAAAAATATAGATAAGAGATGGCACAATCTTGAATTCTGATAAACAAATGGATCTGAAAAACCAAATAAGGACATTAAAAAAATATCACATGTAAAGAGTGAGACAGCACTGATTGTGGTCATCTGGTAAAACTGATACTCACAATGGAATCTAATTAGAGTTATAAAGTGATCAGCTTGAGAGTATAACTTAAATTTAAAAGTGTTTAAGAACTCCAGTTGCTAAGGACAATCTCCCTTGACAGTACAGAAGATGGCACAAAAGGTCCTAAATGACAAATGACCTTTATTCACACTTGATACTTCGCACAGGATATTCAGAGGTTAACAAATGACATTCCTTAGGCATGTACAAAATCTCTGCACCTATAAACGCATAGATGTATTTGTACATCATTAACCATCGACTGTTCTCAATGCATCCTCCACACCTTAAGTGGGCATGATGAACACACAAACATACTCACGCACATGAGACATCTGAGTCTAAATTAAAGAACATGATCCATTGCTCATTCCCTTTAATGATGGATAAAATTCTTACCCCAAAATAGTGAGGATTATAATTTGCATTCAACACCTAGTTCCTTGTTGCTGAGCAGATGCATAATGTCTATTTAAATTTATCAAACATGAGAACAACAGAGGCGAGTACAAATGAACAGCATTTTATAAGAACCTAATAAGAAAATTGACTTTCATGAAGCCAAGCAATCACCTTACAAAAAAAATGTCTTGGGCTATAAAATTCATTTAAATACTCTATTCAGTTTAAAGTATTTCTTTAATAACAATTTAATATTTCACAAGATTAAGCACCATCTCACTATCAATTGTTTGCCTTTGGAAGGTTATATAAAAATATTTTTTATCAGTTAGGTATTTTAAAACCTTAAAAAAGTATTCACAATTCAGAGAAAGCTTGTTTTAATCCAAAGGTGCTCTCATGGCTCACTTTTGCCCTAAAAGTAATATATTTCCCATCAAAATGAAGCATGATAGCAAAATCTGTTCACCTAATGGAGTCATCACTGCTCTTTTTTCTAGTTAAGACACTTTTTCAGTGAGTTTAAGTTCTGGCAAAATCTGTTATGGTTCATCGGGCTTCATTATTCCTTGAGTCATATAATTAAATGATCACATGAAATAAAACCATGGCAGCGCCTATCAATCAAAAGAGTTCTGTGTTCTCAGACATCAAGAATCAAACTGTCAAGAAAGACTGAGTTTATAAGGGCCCCAATTTCCACTGATGTGACAGTGATCTCAGTGACTAAAAAGGTGATTCACTAACAAGACCTGTAAGAATTTGTGACTCTAGCTGGCCATGCATTCTTCAGTTCTTTACAACCCAAGTTTTAATGTCATATTGTCAATCATACGCCATACTGCTGAGAGGGAAAAAAGCAATATATAAAATCATCAGTGACACTCAGATAAAATTAACAGTAATTAAATTTCTGTTGTAATTGTCATTTTCCCAACAGGATTGTTTTAATGACACAACCTAATCAAAGTAACATGATTGCAATCATTCACAGGATACTATGTCAGAAGAACTTTTCAAACATTGAATACACATTTCTGCCTGAAGATGCTCTGGACCTTCCATTGTCAGCTTTGGCTTCCAGCTCTGTTACACATTCATTACACCCTGTACACAGGAAGAAGGAATATTTAAAACAAACTGCTTTTCCTTCTAACTACTGCAGCTGCTTCTACCAAGCAATAAAAGTTGCTAGAGAAATCATATATACACATACATGTAAAATTAGGGAAACAAGCTGCTTTATTGCCTCGACTTAAAATAAGCTCAATCAGTAGAAAAGAAAAACGTTATAATATACAGCTTGATGAGCAGCTGAAGACAAGAATATACTCAGACGCAATTCTAGAATTCAGGATATCTTACTCAGTGTTTGAATGAGACGAAAGACATTTCTCCTCTTAATTTTTCTAAACCACTGAATGAATAAGTGAAGTTTATGTGGGGAATGCAACCCAAAATAGACAGATATATAAAATGTACTTAAATATGATTCTGAGACTTTAAGGCAGAAAATGCAACATTTTGCTCCTGTTTAATTATAATTCATAAACTGCTATTTTATAAACCCTAATTTATGAGTCCAAGGTTAAAAGATACTTTTAATAAGTCAGCAATAAAATTTAACTCAATGTTAACAATTACTCTTTAGGATAAAAATATCAGCTGTATCGCAAACCAGTAATTAGAAGCTAGATTAATGAAATTATAAAGATTAAAATCAAGAGGCATATTAACTAACACTTCAAGGTCAAATGAAAGAAGACACTGAAAAGTGTTGTTTTTTTTTTTTTTTTTAAATAGCCTTACTTTTGACGGTCGCCGTCCGGGTACAGTTGTAAAGGATAGCCAACTCTCCAAACACTTTTCCAGGACCCATGGTGCACAGTTTCACGCCTTCTTTTGTAACTTCAACCTTACCATCTAAAAAGAAGAAGGAAAACATATCATTTTGATTCTCTCTCATGCTTTATTTCATTTGTTGCATTTCTAAGATGAGAGAGGAGGGCCAGGCTCATTTTCAAAAATACAAAGCAGTTACCAACTAAAACAAAATCATCCTCAAGATGCAATGCAAGAAATGCAAATCTCGCCCTAAATTATCTTTTCCTAAATTAATCATTGATAAGATTAGAAAGGAGACTAAAAGAGCACACACACACACACACACACACACACACACACACACACACACACAAAAAGAAAGGGATAGAGATAAAAAAGTCAAAATGTGAAATTCCAAATGTGATATTAGAAAATTCTAGTAATTCCAATTTTAAAGTCATTTTGAATTTGCAATGAAAAATTGAGTATGTTTTCTACAGCACACTTCATATTGGGAATTCTCATCTGAGTAAGGCAGCTATTATGCAAAGGGAAATTACTTTGACCCTTGGGCATTATTCAATTGCAGCTCACAGTATCTTTTATTTTTAAACATCTTATCCAACTTGGCCAAGATTGTTTTATCTGCTTCTCAGCCCTGCAACAAGGACTGTAAGGAAACCAAACTACTGAATACAAAGGTTGAGGGAAAAGAAAGACACGCCGGGACTGTTGATGTTCCACAAAAAATTTGGAAAATGAAGCGCAAAAGGAGGAAAAGCTAAGGAAACAGCGTACACTGGATATATATACTGGTGCCTGAAAGTAAGGAAATGTTATTCATGAAGGAAATTTTAATATATATATATTAAATATATATATTAATATTAATAATATATAATATATATAATATTAATATATATTATATATATATATACTTTAAAATTCAAAGCTATGTACACTAAACCTTCCATCACCTAATATAATGAGGGAAGAAATAACAAGGCAACACAATCTATTCTACACTTTATCTTACCCTTTTATTACTCTTCCCAGTTACTTAGCCACAGGCTGTGGAAGGGAAGCCTAATGCTTGGCAGTGGCTAGTGACTGAAAAGAATTAATGCTACCAAGTTGGTCTGAATGTCAGGGCTTCATATATTGTCTCCATAAATTACCCCCTTTAATCTATATGCTTCCTGTAATATTTCACTTTTTAGAGCTTTAGCTTTACATGTACTCCTTCCTTTTTAAAAATCGACCCAGTTTTGCCTAAGAATAATATATTTATAAAATAACAGAATTGTTCAAATATGTGAGATAAAATCTTATATATTTAAAAACTTTAAAAAGCTGAATTCACAACTGATACAATGTGCCACACACACCAGCCATGAAGCAAACTTAGGAGTGATTATACATTTACACAGAGTAGGAAATGGTAATCCACTCCAGTGTTCTTGCCTGAAAACTGTGGAGAGAGGAGTCTGGCAGGCTACAGAGCATGGCGTCACAAAGAGTCAGACATGACTGAGCAGGCACGTGTAACAATACATTTACAAAGGAACTCCAAGCATAGACCATACAGACCAAGTGGGTCACTTAAGAAAATTAAGAATAAGACAGTCAAAAGTTTAGTGCATACACTCAATGGTTCCAATGCCCACCTAATCAACTTCCCTTCAAGTACTTAGATTCATCTTGAAGACACCCTCTTCATTTACATTCCTTTCTTTTTCCCTCTATGTCTAAAAACAAGATTTGTTTTAAATGGAGTCCAGGTGCATGGAAAGCAGGTGGGCCTGTATGTGGTTGTTTTGGTTATGAGGGGACAGATGTGGGGAAACAAATAAGGAAAAAGTCAAATACGCAGAATACTTAGCACACTTATGCAGAGGCTTACAGTCCTCAATAAATGGCCCAGTATGGAGGTTTTTATGTACTTGTAGTTTGATATTAACTTCAAGAATACATTTTAATGAAACTACTTCAGACCATCACTGTGAATCACTTCACTGTATAGCAGAAACTAATACAACATTCTAAAACAATTATACTCTAATAAAAAATAAATAAATAAAAACAAACAGAAAGCTCCTAGTAGTGTCCTAGACTTTTTCATTATTTTCCCTGGCTAAACTCAACAATGACTAGAGGCTGTTAGCACTGTTACTTGAGGTACTAAAAATAATCCAAAATATAGTTAATTTATATCTTCTACTCCTGCTCTTTTTATTCATTTTTGCTTTTTTTTAATGTGGTACTATATTGGTATTGTTTTTACTTCGCCCTATCTCTACCAGGAAAGAAAAATAAAGAAACATTCGAGTCATTTTTATCTGAACTGTGCTAAACAGTTTGTTTGTGTGAGAGATGTTAGAATATTGGGTTAAAGAAAGCCAGATGGTTATTTATAGTTTTACTTGACTCTTGATATCACTCCTGCAATTATCACGAATAGTTGAAAGCTTTATCACAGCAACTTGAGTGTATTTTTTATTTTACTTCAGGTACCACATGTCCATTTATGAACTAAAATGGGTTGAGTCATAAGTCCTAAATTTTGCCACATTGAGCAGTAATCAACCTACCTCTTGTTCTTTGGCACCACAATTTATGTACCACTTCAGGGAAATGTTCAGTAATAAGAGATCCATAATGAAGCATCCATACTGCTGTGAAGTCGCTCAACTGTGTCCAACTCTTTATGACCCCATGGACTGTGGTCCACCAAACTCCTCTGTACATGGAATTCTCTAGGTAAGAACACTGGAGTGGGTTGCCATGCCCCCCTCCATGGGATCTTCCCAACTCAAGGGTCAAACTCTCATCTCCTATGTCTCCTGCATTGGCAGGCAGGTTCTTTATCACTAGCACCACCTAGAAAGTCCAAAGCATTAAAATTTTTATCTATTTTTATAAGAATCAGCAAAAAAAACAAATGAAGCAACAAAGGATTAATCTCAAAAATATACAAGCAACTGCTGAAGCTCAATTCCAGAAACATAAATGACCTAATCAAAAAATGGGCCAAAGAACTAAACAGACATTTCTCCAAAGAAGACATACAGATGGCTAACAAACACATGAAAAGATGCTCAACATCACTCATTATCAGAGAAATGCAAATCAAAACCACAATGAGGTACCATTACACACCAGTCAGGATGGCTGCTATCCAAAAGTCTACAAGCAATAAATGCTGGAGAGGGTGTGGAGAAAAGGGAACCCTCTTACACTGTTGGTGGGAATGCAAACTAGTACACCCACTATGGAGAACAGTGTGGAGATTTCTTAAAAAACTGGAAATAGAACTGCCATATGACCCAGCAATCCCACTTCTGGGCATACACACCGAGGAAACCAGATCTGAAAGAGACACGTGCACCCCAGTGTTCATCGCAGCACTGTTTATAATAGCCAGGACATGGTGGCAACCTATATGCCCATCAGCAGATGAATGGATAAGGAAGCTGTGGTACATATACACCATGGAATATTACTCAGCCATTAAAAAGAATTCATTTGAATCAGTTCTAATGAGATGGATGAAACTGGAGCCCATTATACAGAGGAAAGTGAACCAGAAAGATAAAGACCAATACAGTATTCTAATGCATGTATATGGAATTTAGAAAGATGGTAATGATAACACTATATGCAAAACGGAAAAAGAGACACAGATGTACAGAACAGACTTTTGGACTCTGTGGGAGAAGGCGAGGGTGGGATGTTTCAAGAGAACAGCATCGAAACATGTATATTATCTAGGGTGAAACAGATCACCAGCCCAGGTTGGATACATGAGACAAGTGCTCAGGGCTGGTGAACTGGGAAGATCCAGAGGGATCGGGTAGAGAGGGAGGTGGTCGGGGGGGTCGGGATAGGGAATACCTGTAAATCCATGGCTGATTCATGTCAATGTATGGCAAGAACCACTACAATATTGTAAAGTAATTAGCCTCCAACTAATAAAAATAAATGGAAAAAAAAAGAATCAGTAGTTTCTATAAATAAAAGAAGGTACTGAATTTACAAGAAGATCCAGAGTCTCCTGACTTCTGACTTTATGGTTTTTGTTTTTGTTTTTTTTAAAAAACTAATCAGTAGTTTGGGGCCATGAGGACTTTCACAAATAAGACCAATCAGTTTAGAGATTTATTACTGGCAGGCTGAGACAGAATTGTTGGCAATAAGCTAATTATGAATACTCTGTGCTGAGTTCCAACAATCTTAGTTGGAACATGCAGGACAACGTGATTGGTCATTAAAAGGAGACAGTTGTTCTATCAAAGGTCCCATCTAGACAAGATCTTCCATCTCCTTCATTGTCTAATACTTTTATGATTTTGTAGGTTTGAGAACACAGTTTTTACATTATGTATTTTCTCATGAGGGTTTCTGTAGCTGATAGGTTCAACAGGAACATTTAACAATGTGGTGGCTGAGCAGTGCTATGAGCAGCATGGGTATATTTTCTCTAGGAGTTGAGATCACTTATGGATTTTTTTTTCCCTTTCAGTTTTCTTAAGACATAATTGACACAGAATACTGTACATGGTTAAGGTCTACAGCATAATAACTTGACTTGCATATGTTATGAAATGATTACTACAATAAGCTTATTTAACATCTGTCATCTCACAGGTTTTTTCCCCCCTTCGGATGATAATGTTTAGAACTTACTCTCTGCTTCCTCAATGGATTAAGAATACTACTATATTGAACTTGCCTTGTCATTTTAGGTTAGGAGTGCTGTCAGTTGTGGAAGAAAGTAGAAATCATTAAGGCTACTATGGGCTAACTAAAGGGAAAAAGCTTTCTCCTTTCTAGGGACAGACGATAGTCTTAGATAATCTTCCTTAAGAATACGTCTTGTCAGTCATTTATATATGTCTTACTTAAGTCAGTATAAGAAAGAAAAAGACAGTCTCACTATTAGATGATAGTTTATTCTCAAATTAAAGAAGGGCAGTGGTTCAGCACCTTATCAGTTTTCTGTTTAAGCTTGATTTCAAGTTCAAAAGGATATGGTCTCTCTGGACCTAAACTCCTGCTCTTTTGATGAGGTGTTAATTTGGATTGGAAGTCATTGTTTG